CTATGCTTCAATTTATGTGCTAGGACCTGAAATGTGATAAAGGAACACAACCTAGCATAAAATAGGCCAAAGACGCGATAATTCAAGCTCAAACAATCAAGAAACAAAGGGGAAAACATGTGCAAATATCGAGTCATCAAATCCCCCCACACTTAACCGTTTGCTTGTCCCCAAGCAAACCTAACTCAAACCAATGCAACTCTCCAGAGCTCTATAGCAACATACAACCCCGATCGTCGGTAGAGGATTTCCCAGATCATATAGCAGCTTACGAGGTCAACTGGTCTTCTAAGACGTTCCCTATCTCTCTCAATGCGAGTACTAGACTCAAGCCAGGATCATGAGAAAAAGTAGAAGTAAGACAGTCAGTTCATGGATAAAGGGACTCACACCATTCACAACCAAGGACTCGTTGTACCGGGGTGCTCTTTCACTTCATTTCACCGTTGGAACCCCTTTTTCACTTTCATTTTACTTACTTTTTTTTCCTTTTTATTCACTTGGCGGGGGTTCCAACTGCAGTCTTTTGCACGGTCGACCCTTATTAGTCGAGCAAGAGCAATTTCTGTACATCTGGCGCTCGCCAGAGTACTTCTTTTAACTCCTTTTCCTCAACTCGTGTGGAGGGTCAATGAAATTAAGGGGGGTCGGAAGCTCTATCCGTGCCCTTAAAAACACATCCTCGAGTAGGCAAACCGTTCAACGGGTGGAAGTTTTACTTGTACTAGAGACAGCTTAGCTTCACCTTGTAGGAGTACCCCACTAAGGATCACTAAAATCTCTTCCAAAACCCGATTTTGTGCAATGAACGGTGCCACACACGTTGGGCTTACCCCATGTTTAAGATTTTTGATGATTTCGACATGGAGGACCAACTGCTTTTCATTTGCCACATGAGCACCCTGTTCGATACACGAGTCCATAACACAATCAAAATAGAGTCACCATTACCACATGAATTCAACGGTCTTAGCTCCACTAATTCACAAAATCAACTGACACAGCAGAGAGCTAGATAGGAAAAATCTTATACTTCAACATCCTCCATAGTGCTACACTACCTCCCTAGGTTGCACGTTACTATAGAGACTGTCAATTCAAAGCATACTGAGCAGGCAATTTGCAAGGAAACACGTACTTGGAGCCCTCAAATTTAAAATTTGGACAGTGGACTAGGCTCCAAGCACACAAACAGCCAAACATTCACCCGCATACATAATCGAACACCCCCCCACACTTAAGCACGACATTGTCCTCAATGGAGGAAAGATAAGGAGGGTAGAACGAAGTTACCAGATCAAGGGTGAATGATGATGGACGGGGCAGGCGGTGCATTCCAGGAAGAGAGAGTAATCAGAACACAAACACCACACAAAATCTCACAAAGGTTGAGTTATTGACTCTAAAATCAAATAACAAAACTGACTCAACCGAGGATAAATAGAGAAAGAAATGCAAACCGACTGGTTGGGTTGCCTCCCAACAAGCGCTTCTTTCACGTCGTGAGCCGGACGATGGCTCCTAAGTTTCGGTCCATGCTAGAACCTCCTTGAAGTTGAGGTTCTCGTCGATGAGGTGGAGTCTCAAGTCACGAGCATGTGGTGTGGCAGGTGATGAAGGCTCGTGTACTTGATGCAGATGAAGTCTCCACCCTCGAGACCTCTTCTTCACTTCTCTCGTCTCATTGCCCCAAACCAGATAAGACAGCATCGATTGGCCACCATCGCGTCCACCAAGAGGGACCGATGTCGATGTGGCCTTGGTCTGGCAAAGAGACACTGCAAATGGGTCCTTGCTGAGCAATTCCTCGAAGTTTGGTGGAGATATCACATGTAACTCATGGCCGGTGCAAGCCTCTTCCACCTCAACTTCGTCCTCAGCCTGGACGCCAATTGCTCCTTCAACCTCCCTTCCTTCTTCATGTGGTATCACCCCTGGGAAATGATCAAGAACTCCTCCTGCTTCGCTTTCGTCATCCTCCACAACCTCTTTCTGCACCCTTTCTTGCTCTTCTTCTTCTAGCACGGATTGGAGAGCAAGTTGCCAAGCAATTTCTTTCATGAGATCTTCTTGCATCTCCTCACTCATGCCCACCTCTTCAAAGCGCAGTGTGGGATGTGGGAAAGGGTGGTCGGCTACGACAGGACATTCCTGATCATGATCATCACGGGAGCTCTCCGTGACAACTTCTGTGTGCTCCCTAATGTCCGTGTAGCCTTCTTCTTCCTCCTCCTCTTCTTGTATGGTAGCAGAAGGGTGATCTTGAGCAAGTTGTGCACAAACTTGCTCAACCCACTCTGTTTGCTTCGCTGAGCGTTGAACAGCCTCCTCCATATCACGGAGATATGAGGGATCGGAAGAGGGAAGGGCCTGGATTTGAGGATCCATCCTGGAGCATGTTCTCTCACAGGCTCGAGTAAACTGCTCCAAGAGAAGCCTCAGTTCATAGTTTGGATCTGGCTGTGGAGTGTAGCATGGCTCTGCAGAATGGCCCGTGAAGGCCGCCATGGGTAACTCCAACGCTGATGGCCCTTCTGGTTGTGGGAGGAAGTCTTCTTGGTAATGAGATTGTCCTTGATATGCCCAGGGGTCAGATTGTTCTCCATAGAAAGGGGGTTGGTACTGGAACCCGGATCCATAGTCTTCTCCTCCTTGATTGCTCCAGGGTGTCTCGGGGTAATACCACTCGGATGGTGGTGGATACCCCCAATGGTTGGAGAAGCCATGAGGATCCATGATTCAGATCTGCACCAACAAAAACAAAAACACCCAAGTGAAAAGCAAGGGTGGAAAACAAAAGAAAAACGCTAAAGTAACAAACTTCTGCCTTTCCTAATAATCTAGAAATTCCCCGGCAACGGCGCCAAAAACTTGACTCGCTATGACACAACTCCTAACAATGGCCAAGTGTAACCAATGAAAGGGACTGCAGTATAGTGGCTCAAGTAATAAATATCGAATCCACGGGTCTCTAGAGTTACTATTACTCAGCTTCAGTTCATTATCTAGCAAACCAGATTAAGATAGAAGAACTAAAACTACTCTAGCAAACTACAGTTAAGGTTAATTTAATTACAGGTTGGGAACTCACTTAGGTATGATTCCCCCTAGCCACTAGCCAGATTAATGATTGATGATCTCTTACCTGCTTCACTTTCATTCACAATGCGGAGAATCCTTAACTAGACCTTGAGTCTCGACTAAAGGAACAAGGCCCTCTTGAGTCAATTGCCTAGAGGGACGTATCCTTCTCTAGAACAACTGATCAAGGCGTTCTGAACTAGATTCCCTCTATCGAATGAGGTTCTCAATCGATACAAAGCATTGAATCAACCCTCGACTAAAGCAATCGATCCAATACTATCAATCTATGGTGCTCTATTGACCTAATCAGGTATTCGCTCTCATAGGATCAAAGCAGAATCAATAATCTCGACTAAAGCAGAATTGAATCATGAAAACATGCATAGATTGAATATGAACTCAAGATTACCAAGTCAGAGTACTCATACAATCATCCAATCCAACAAACATGGCTAGGGTTCCTCAAAACCTAAGTGAAGGGAAGTTACTCCATAGAGAAGAGAGAGACTGCAGTAAGAATCTTCAGATGATCAGTCTTCAAGTCCGGGCTTGTTCCTCAAGCTTCCAAGGCGAAGAAATCCTCCAATTCCACTCTTAGAATGCCCTCAAATCGCCCTCTCTTTCTTTGGTTCGTCCCTTGGGTGTTTGGGATCCAAAACCCAGCTCTCTCTCTCTGTTTTGGCTGAAATCTGCTTAAAAAGGGCATCAGTGGCCAAAGCACGGTCGAGGGCACGGCCGTGCTTTGCCTCAGCCCGCCCGTGTTTTCAGCTCGAGTTGGCCAAACTCAAATCAGCTCTCGGCAGTAAAAGCACGGTCACAGAACACGGCCGTGTTCTGAAGGCCTCCTGCCCGTGTTTTCACTGCCGAGCCTGTTCCCCTATATTCAATGCTTCGTTTCTCCCTCGTCCGGACTCCGAATCAGTCGCCGTTTGATCCCAGACGCTCGTAGTCTCGTCCTCTTTCGTTTCATAACAAGATTGCATGATTCTTTGTCCATTAGGTGAGGTAGAAATCCATTCTTCTTCAGGTCATACCCGAGTTTCTTCTCCCGAATCGTCAATTGATCTCTGATTGACTTGAAACTTGCGCCTATGCTTCAATTTATGTGCTAGGACCTGAAATGTGATAAAGGAACACAACCTAGCATAAAATAGGCCAAAGACGCGATAATTCAAGCTCAAACAATCAAGAAACAAAGGGGAATGTTCGAGTGGTCCTCCACCGTGGGAGCTTGTTGGTGAGTGTCCTGGTGGACCTACGGATCCTAGCCTCATTAGGAGCTTCCGTGGCCACGCTTCCTACGCTTCCTACACCCGTACAGGGGCGGTTGATTATCTTGGGAGCTACGTGTTTACTCATGTTGAGGCGGAGGATCTGGTTCAGCAGTCAGGTCTCCAGCACCTGATCTACTCTATGTTCCGCAGGATAGCGATTGACGAGGCTTTGATCTCAGATTTTGTGGAGAGGTGGCAGCCAGACACGAACACCTTCCACTTGCCTTTTGGAGAGATGATGATCCTCCTCCACGATGTTTAGTACTTACTGCAGATTCCTGTTGAGGGACGACTGATGAGTAGGACTTCTGCGCAGCTTGACCATCCGGAGGTGGGTTTGTGTGCGCTTCTTGGGATGAACTCGGAGCAGTTGAGTGGTCGTTCGGAGGCCCCTGGATTTGGTAGTAAGGGTAAGTGGTACGAGAAGGGTGGTTTTCTTGCGGAGATGGCGTCCAGATACTTGCAGGTGAACGGGACACATGTGACAGAGGCGCAGTCGTACTTGTTGTTGATGTTGGGGTCCACTTTGTTTGTGGACAAGAGTAGAGACAGGGTTCGGCCGGTGGTGAACCTATTTTTGGACGAGTTGGAGGAGATAGATCAGTACATTTGGGCGTCCGGTACACTTGCTTGGTTGTACAGATGCCTTGGTCAGGCGTCTCGTGCTGGTGCCAGGGGGTGGCTGGTTGTCTCACACTTCTGCAGTGTTGGATCTACGAGTACTTTCCGGGTTTCAGGCCATCTCACTTTGAGCCACCTGTCGTTGGACCTGATGAGGCTTGGGCTTCACGATGGATTGGGCAGCCGGCGACTGGTTCTGTGGCTGATCCCAGTGTGAGGTTGGCGTTCTACCGTCGAGCTCTTGACAGCTTGACCCCTTCTGATGTGTGTTGGACACCTTTCCATCAGAGGCCTCATCAGGCAGTGCGTCGCTCTTTGTACACTGGAGTGATTCGGTTCGCTGATATAGGCGAGTTCTATGATCCAGCCCGTTGCCTCCGACAGTTTGGATACCGACAGATGGTACCGCCTCCCCCTTCGCGTCCTCAGCGAGCAGACCGACCAGAGGCACCTGGTGGATATGTCATTCGGATTCCTGAGAGTTTTGATGCTGCATGGGATGCTCTGCTATCCCACATGGTTCATATAGACATGTACTCTCAGCCCTGGAGGAGGTATCCATATGAGACTACGGTCGACTATCTTGACTGGTTCGTGGCGCACTCTCATTGTAGAGTCCTACAGGATGATGGAGATGCAGATCGACTAGTTGACTCCGCAGCGGTAAGATTTGACCACTAGACCGTTACTCTATTATAAATATACTTAGCGTGAAACTAACAATTGTTATTGTTTTTTTTTTTTTGTGCAGCGTGCTCGAGACCTTTTGTACACGTTTGCACCTGCAGTTCGAGCAGCAGCAGGGACCGAGGAGGAGTTTCTTGAGCATTCTCGACGAGCCTACAGGGCACTGCACGGAGTGCAGGATGTGTGGACTGAGTACTGGGTCTCCCAGGGACTCCCCGCTCCCTGATTTTTAGTTGTTTTGATGTTTAGATCGGATGTTTATGTTTAGACTGCATGTTTGCATATTTATGTTTAGATCGGATGTTTGACTACTTATTTATGTTTGGATCAGATGTTTATGTTTAGACTGCATGTTTCCATGTTTATGTTTAGATCGGATGTTTGACTACTTATGTTTGGATCGGATGTTTGCACACTCATGATTAAAACATCGAGGGTAGATAATGAAATCCATAAGTTCATAATGACACTAGAGCCATTTAAAATACAACTAGAAAAACAACAACATATAAATAGAGCATCGCAACACTATGCATTGCTCCTACCCCTACCCCTTCCCCTAGCTCTTCGGGGGTCTCTCTGCCTAGCTCGCTGCCGACCACCAAGACTCGCAAACAAATTTTGTCCAACCTCGAGAATAGCTTCCCATCCCGCCACATTAGGACTTGCTAGCCCATGCTAAAGTGGATGCAAAGGGGGTATGGGAAACTGATCCTGGTTGAATTACAATCGAATGTAGTGGTTGTTCACATAGTGCAGTGATAAGAACATGGTTGGTGGCAAAGTACCTGGGTCCGCATCAATAGGCAATACAATATAGGAATCATCGTAGCGGTTGGGTAGTGGACGGTTTGCATTATTGACATCAAACACCTGGTATGTGAAGACCATGACTGCGATGTTGTAGATGGTGGCAAACACGAAAAAGTCCTCAGAATCCATCCATCGCCCCATTGGTGCGGAACCCGCCTCGAGCCAATTGATGCGGTCAATGTGAGCTAGTGGACCACCATTATACAAGTTCTCGTACTTCCATAAATGTTGTTGGATTTCTTGGACAATCGTCGATCTCATGAGCAGATAGTGACTATCATCCCCATAAATACAATGAGAAAGTGCCCTAAAACCACAATGGCCGTCTGGACTAGGGTTGAAATCGCCTACCAACAAAGGTCGAACAAACTCTGGAAAAAGCTCATCGATGTAAGGGTAAGAATATTGCCCTGGGGGGCTCTGGGATGAGTAATCTAAAAAAATATACCAAACAGTCAAAATTACTTGGACAAAATTTACAAACATAAACCAATTACTACTAGATGGACTACAATATTTAACCAATTACTCACCTGTATCATGCTCGTCGGATTCACCTCCACTCAATCGGGATCTGCCTCCACTCGATCGGGATCTGCCTCCACTCGATCGCCCCCTGCCTCCACTCGAACCAGGCCCAGTACTCCTCGAACGAGACCGCTCATAATATGAACGAATGCGACTGGTGCTTGTTCGAGGCCGTCCTCTCGGATTCTCATTCACTTCCGGTTCCCTCACATTGTCCTCTGCTTGGTGAAGCCCATAGAATAGGGCATCTCTTGCTTGTCTCACTGCTTCAGGACCTCTTTCTTCCACCTCAACAGTAAGACGCCTAAAGTGTTCTCGTTGAAGCTCAATTTCATCATTGACTTGTTGTTGACGTGGGGGGTTTTTATAATCCAAAGTCCGCCAAAATACATGCAACTCTTGAGCATAGAATTGACGTCCTTCTTCCTTAGCTTGAACAACCTGGCAAGCACACTTGAGCCCATGTGTCATCTGAAAATGACACGCACAACGGTCCTTCAACTCCGCCGCCCCATCTAACATCAGTTTGATTGCCTCACAACTAACGACCCTCCTCAAAAACGTGCACGGAGGCTCAATTGCCCTACTCAGATTGCGGTTAAGTGACTTGTGCAGCTCATTCACCACTTCTAGAAACTGATGTTCCATGTAGTTGTGGTTCTTCGCAAAACAAGTGTCAATCGCTCCTCTACCAGACACAAGGAAACTCTTGAATGAAGAGTGAGATGACTCAACTCTATTCGAGCTCGTGTTACCAAGATGAAACACATGGTTCCTGTAGCACTTTGCCCACATTGTCTGACAAGGCAACCACTCACCTCGCACGTAGTCAACCATTTTTATGTTCTTCTGTGTCCAGACCCTCTCAAACTGATTAATCTTTTGAAGAAAACCCTCCTGAGTCCAACTCCATGCAGCTTTGTCGAAATATTTCTTCCATACCGCTTCTGCTACCTCTCTTTTTGAAATTCCACCCAGTAATTGCTCAAACTTTTGCTTCACACAGTTGTTGACGTGCCATAAACATAGTAGGTGGACAGTATGTGGGAGAGGGAAGACCAGGGGCATAGAAGCAAGCAGACCACCTTCTTTGTCTGTCACAATGACATTCGGAACCGTATCACCGAGCAACCCTTTAATACATCGCAGCACCCACTCATATGTTTCCTTTGTTTCCTGCTTAATAATTGCACATGCAATGTTGAAATTCTTCTTGACTGGAGTAACCCCAATAATCTCAACCCATGGCCACCCATACCTATTCGTCTTGTAGGTCGAGTCAATGATGATGATGTACGGCCATGCATGCAACATCTCAATGGACGTCGGGTGCGCAAAAAACAGATTAGTGAGCACATTATTAGAGTCCTTTTGCAAACAGATATGGTACCCACGTTGTTCAGCTCCATGAAGCGCAAACTGTATCGCATCCATTTCACCCATCTCATCCAATCTGTTCTTGTAATTTATGTTGTACATCTGTTTGATATCATGACTCACACCCCCTTCAGTATTGAGTGTCGTCTTCTGCTGATTTGGTCTCACCCCCGCCTTCCTCATTAATCTTAACCTCTCTTTTTTCAGCCTCACTAAACTGTTTGTTGTGTCGGTGATGTTCTGGATACAACACCTTTTCATGGTTGTGAAACCCTCTATTAGCTCCGGTTTCACGACTTGTCACTCCCACTAGGACCCATGTGTTTGGACCATCCTTTTGCCATACTTCCTTAATACATATCTGAAACTGGCAACCAGTACCCTTCGAACTAATATTCCCACGCGTCTCCTTCGTAGGGTCTGGTTTATAAGACTTAACGACCCTACTGCTTCTGTCGCAATACATACAGAGGGCAGTAACAGGATGTAGTCCAGCAGTATTCGGTTTCCATGCTCCTCTAACAATAAAGAACCCGCACTCCTGAGCGATTGCTTTTGCAGCTAACTCAGCTAACTCCACACTTGCATAATGGATCCCATTCTCAAATTCTGCTGTGTAATCATGATCGGCCGGGAACCACTCTGACATTTTTCCTACAATTACAATATAACACATCAATATTCTTGTGAACCTAAACGCTAATTTCAACTCTTAGCCGCTAAATTCAACTCCTAAACTCTAAATTCAACTCCTAAACGCTAAATTCAACTCCTAAAATGGAATTTTTCCGACGATTTGCAACGAACAGGGTGTGCCGAAAATTTACGGCGGCCGGAACCTGGCCGGGCCGAAGGAAAACGGTGGCCGGAGCCTCGCCGGGCCAAAAATATTTTTCGGCTCCGCCTGGCTCCGGCCACCCATTTCCGTCGGCCCGGCCAGGTTCCGGCCGCCGAAAACTTTCGGCCCGGCCAGGTTCCGACCGCCGGAAATTTTCGGCCCACCCTCTGTTCGTTGCAAATCGTCGGAAAAATTGTTCGAAACTACAAAAAAATTGACGCACCTGCTTAGTGATGATTCATGGATGCGTGTCCGCAGTTTACGTCGAGGATGGGCTTTCCCGATGGTTTTCCGGCGACTTTTCCGGCGAGCGTCGATTTTTTTTGATTGACTGATTCAATACGTTTTCTGAAAGTTGAATATGTTGTAGATTGTGAAACTTTTTAACCAAAGATGTACATATATACTTCTTTTTTTTTTTTAGTTGGCGGCAAATAGCAATTTGTTTGGCGGCAAATAGCAAGCCCCTACCAATTTGCCTTCAGCCCACGTCGTCTGTGAGTCGATGTAGCCGCCTTTCACTCTCTCGAGTCTCCAATCGTAAACACATGTGTGTGTCTGGCCTCTCAAGTCTCTGGCACCAGCTTGTTGATTCTGCCCAAATTTCATCGCCGGTTAGGGTCACAGCAGGGAGTTGATTGATTGGGTTGGAATCGGAGCATAAGGTCGCCTCTAGTATTTCCTGTTGTACGATTTCGGAGTTGGTTATTTTCATTTACCCCAATATCTCAGCCTAATCTGTGTGTTTTTATGTCTTTATCGACCTGAAATAGTACACGACTTCACAAAGTATGTATTAGTTTGGTGGGGATGACATGCACATGCTAGCTCTTGATCTAATTTGAAGGGCTTGTGGCAGCTCCAACAGAGAGGCTAGGCTCTGTAAACATACTTGGCGATGGTTTACGATCCATCAGCGAAGCAACTACTAGGGCATCAGGGTCTCAGAAGAAGGTGATATTGGTGGCAAGGCACTTCACAGTAGCATCAGGTATATTTGAGGTGATGGGGGGATATATATCGGTCTGCATCAGTGTAGGTACTAGGTACAGAGGGTTTGTTTTTACGAGTTAGTTTTAATATGACAAATCTAGCACGAATTATTTTTTTTTTGTTAATATTGACCGGTGTTCATTGTTAGTATTTAACAGAAAATCTAGTCGGTATTTATATGGTTTGTGCCAGATTTGTCATATTAAATAGTTTAGGATACAAATAACACTTTTAAGATAGTTTGGGTTTCCTAGTGGAATTAGCCCTTTTAATTAAGATAAAGTTAGTGTTTTCTCACGTTAGTTTAATTTAACGATTGTTATTAGGCTATTAGCTTTGTATAATATATTATAATGAAATTTTTTAATATATTATCAAAAGTACAGATAGTAAAGTATAATTTGCCAATCCAATTAAATTTGGCTCAAATGGATTGGATTTAAAT